TTTGCTTTATGCGTAAATCATGAACACTAACAGATGAAATTAAATGGTGAAGTGGTAAAACTACTAAAAAATGAAAACTTACCAAAATGTGTACAAAACCAATTTATCAACTTATCAATTTATTTAATTCGCGTTAGCAAATAGCGGTTTACTCATTAACATTACGAAACTACCTGTTGCTAAATCTCAAAAGGAAAAAACGAGATCAATTTACTGATGAACATGCGTATATTTTCAATGTTTTGGTTGAAAATGTGCAAAGTTGATCGGTAAAGACGATAATCTATTTTCAATTATTCTCGATATGGAGTTGTTTGAAAACTTCCAGATCAAGAAGAAACATTTCCAATTGTTTGCCATGACTGTGTTAAGGCACACAGGCCCTCTTAAGCCTGCATGCAGAGAAAAACTAGCAAAAAATGAATTTTTCCAAATTCAAACTGTCCGTAAGTTGAAGCAAGTTTTGCATTGGTTTTTTATTCGTAATGTTTCGCTATACTAACACTTTGCTTAACTTTAAATTATTGCTTAATAGCAAAGTTTAAATTCGATATTTATGGACGAATATCTGTCCAGAGAAAATAAGCTCAACTTAAAAAAATATTTTCCGTTCTCTTCAACTAAGCACCGATATCGCGTTAAAACTACTACAAAACTGCCAATTTTGACTGTATGATATTTCATTAGAAAATACTTTGTAAAATGAAGAAAAAGCTCACAGTTTTAAACTAAGTGTTTTTAAAGGGAGTGTCCCTATCTTATCGGATAATATTTTTCTTCTTATATTAAGTCTTCGATTTCTGGTTACCGGGTTACATCTGATTTCAGCTCCTCATTAGAGGCCCTGTTTATCGGGGCAAGATCTTTGAGGAACTTTTACCAACCTTTATTCTAGGCCTTAGATCGGAAAATGAGTACCTATTCTCTCTGCTCTCATTGGTTCATTTGTGCCCTCTAGTTTGTACTGAGTGGACAAAGAAAGCCGCGACTTTGCCACTCAGGTTGACGAACAGGTAGTACTAAAGGGAGGCTCCGCGACGCCAGGGAGCGTATTGCCAATGTTTAATCTACGACAAACCAGTATAATTCTCTAAAAGACTACGTATATAAAAACTATACGTAAACGTATAGTTTTGATTGATGAGTGTGTGATGTTCTGTTCATAAACGTGTTCTCTCTCGGGCAATTTACCCTAACTTTACTAAAATTCACTATCTGTCTTACTGTTTTAAGACACTTGTGGGTTGATGCCGCTCTGTGTGTTCATGTGCCGCGACACTTGGCTTCTTACGTCGCGGCACTTTGAACAACACTTAACATGTAATCTCATTCAAGATGGCACACTTCGGATTGCAGTTCGTAAAGGCCACGAGCAGTTACTATTTGGTTTCTGACCCTCTCGGCAGGCAATATTTTACGTTAAAAAGCCGCACGAACGAAAGTGCTCAAAATACCTGTCTACTGATTACTGATGAATTTTTATTGATCTCGGTTCGATGGCTCGCATAGAGTACTGGTCGGCCAGTACAACATCTGGAATTTCGATTGTTCAACAAAGCAAAAAGGCAAATGCCTGCCTTTTGATTACTACTAGATTGCCTTAAAAATAAGTCTATGAAGAAATCCAAAAAAGAAACTTAAATGGTTTTGTCAACCCTTGCATACATAAAGGAACAAGAGTCATTCAGTCATAATTTATGGCTGACCCAGCAACTTCGAAACCAATCACACATACTTGTGAGGCAAATAGGCTTTACAAGAAGAAAACATGTTGCCACTTCATTCATTCCTTTCATTAAAACAACGCAACCGGCGGCTGTCATAGTCTCTCTTTAGTAAATCAAAGAAAAAACATTGAACTGCTTAAAAGGAACGCTAGCGAACTTATGAACCACTAGACATGACGAAACACAGCGTCTCATGTTTTTATTTCCCAACATATAAGAAGTGTGGCGCGCTGGGTGAACACCTGAAAATCTACTGTGTTACCCAGGCCTACTTCAGTGTCATTATTTAATAAGCGCTTCCAACTAGTGCTCGTTGGGCAAATAAAACGTAGCAAGATCTTCGTTCTTCCTGCAGCTGCTTCCAAATTCCATGTCACTCAAAAACTGTGGTTTTTCCCGATATTTTGTTGTTCATGATGCTCGTATTCAGGGTGTCCTAAAAGTGAGACAAACACTTATTGATGCAACCCTACAGCAAAAATGAGTGTGAGAAGTTCCTATAACACTTTTGCGAAAACTCAATAATAACGGATCAGGGTGTTAAAGTGCAAAAACTACCGCCGTGTACATGCGTTATTATTGAGTTTTCGCAAAAGTGTTATAGGAACAAATGCATCTGTTTGATCTGAGGAGTGAATCAACTGCAAAAGAAAGGGTATTGGTTTTATGAGACTGTAAACTCAAAGCAGCAAACTGCAAAGCTTCATTTCGTCGTTAGAATTCGTGTTGCTTCAAGTGTATTTGAGGGGAGCAAACAGGGAGATTCAAAATTGGCGTCATTTCTTTTAAGGGGTGATGGAAGCTCACTTGGGGATTACGAAAAAAATATTGCAAATTTTTCCTTCGAAAATTTCTAGAAGATATTAACAATTGAAGATCGAATTTCAACTTTGCTATTAAACATTATTTTGAAATTGTTCCATGTTTAATTGGTAGCATATTGGAAAACTTAAGCATTCAAAAAGAAAAATTACGATCTTTGCTTCAAATTACGAAAATTTTCAATATTGAAAAAGTTCTGTTCTACAATTTTTTGATGAAAAGGCAGAGCGGCAATGATGTTTTTTGCCATTAACAGATAGTTACAGGTGGATAGCCCTTGTCAATAATAACAATAATCTGTCAAACTGTGACTTACTTTGAGCCTTTTGATTACTACTAGATTGCCTTAAAAATAAGTCTATGAAGAAATCCAAAAAAGAAACTTAAATGGTTTTGTCAACCCTTGCATACATAAAGGAACAAGAGTCATTTTGCTTTATGCGTAAATCATGAACACTAACAGATGAAATTAAATGGTGAAGTGGTAAAACTACTAAAAAATGAAAACTTACCAAAATGTGTACAAAACCAATTTATCAACTTATCAATTTATTTAATTCGCGTTAGCAAATAGCGGTTTACTCATTAACATTACGAAACTACCTGTTGCTAAATCTCAAAAGGAAAAAACGAGATCAATTTACTGATGAACATGCGTATATTTTCAATGTTTTGGTTGAAAATGTGCAAAGTTGATCGGTAAAGACGATAATCTATTTTCAATTATTCTCGATATGGAGTTGTTTGAAAACTTCCAGATCAAGAAGAAACATTTCCAATTGTTTGCCATGACTGTGTTAAGGCACACAGGCCCTCTTAAGCCTGCATGCAGAGAAAAACTAGCAAAAAATGAATTTTTCCAAATTCAAACTGTCCGTAAGTTGAAGCAAGTTTTGCATTGGTTTTTTATTCGTAATGTTTCGCTATACTAACACTTTGCTTAACTTTAAATTATTGCTTAATAGCAAAGTTTAAATTCGATATTTATGGACGAATATCTGTCCAGAGAAAATAAGCTCAACTTAAAAAAATATTTTCCGTTCTCTTCAACTAAGCACCGATATCGCGTTAAAACTACTACAAAACTGCCAATTTTGACTGTATGATATTTCATTAGAAAATACTTTGTAAAATGAAGAAAAAGCTCACAGTTTTAAACTAAGTGTTTTTAAAGGGAGTGTCCCTATCTTATCGGATAATATTTTTCTTCTTATATTAAGTCTTCGATTTCTGGTTACCGGGTTACATCTGATTTCAGCTCCTCATTAGAGGCCCTGTTTATCGGGGCAAGATCTTTGAGGAACTTTTACCAACCTTTATTCTAGGCCTTAGATCGGAAAATGAGTACCTATTCTCTCTGCTCTCATTGGTTCATTTGTGCCCTCTAGTTTGTACTGAGTGGACAAAGAAAGCCGCGACTTTGCCACTCAGGTTGACGAACAGGTAGTACTAAAGGGAGGCTCCGCGACGCCAGGGAGCGTATTGCCAATGTTTAATCTACGACAAACCAGTATAATTCTCTAAAAGACTACGTATATAAAAACTATACGTAAACGTATAGTTTTGATTGATGAGTGTGTGATGTTCTGTTCATAAACGTGTTCTCTCTCGGGCAATTTACCCTAACTTTACTAAAATTCACTATCTGTCTTACTGTTTTAAGACACTTGTGGGTTGATGCCGCTCTGTGTGTTCATGTGCCGCGACACTTGGCTTCTTACGTCGCGGCACTTTGAACAACACTTAACATGTAATCTCATTCAAGATGGCACACTTCGGATTGCAGTTCGTAAAGGCCACGAGCAGTTACTATTTGGTTTCTGACCCTCTCGGCAGGCAATATTTTACGTTAAAAAGCCGCACGAACGAAAGTGCTCAAAATACCTGTCTACTGATTACTGATGAATTTTTATTGATCTCGGTTCGATGGCTCGCATAGAGTACTGGTCGGCCAGTACAACATCTGGAATTTCGATTGTTCAACAAAGCAAAAAGGCAAATGCCTGCCTTTTGATTACTACTAGATTGCCTTAAAAATAAGTCTATGAAGAAATCCAAAAAAGAAACTTAAATGGTTTTGTCAACCCTTGCATACATAAAGGAACAAGAGTCATTCAGTCATAATTTATGGCTGACCCAGCAACTTCGAAACCAATCACACATACTTGTGAGGCAAATAGGCTTTACAAGAAGAAAACA